ACCGAATTGGCTCCTTAGTTTGTGGGGGAAATTGTGCCCTTGCTTAAAACTGTAGCCATAGCTTTTTGTTCTGATCTGAACCAGTGCTCAGAAGTGCCAGCAGTGCTCAAAGTCCTAGAATCAAAGAGCTGGAAGGGACCTAGATCTAAATAGGACCCCACCACTACAAGGAAACCCTGACCACTCCACCATTTAGCCTATAACGAATTGATCCAGATGACAATGCCCATAACATCTGCCACAATCAGTAAACAGCTGTTTGTTAAAGTACATTCAGTGTCGCACTGCTTGCCCTGTCTTATTTGGCTGATCTGTCTTGCTGATCTTAGAGCTGCATAACCTGCATTTTAAAAACTACTTGATTTGAAACTAGGATTCTTAGAAACCACTAGGTCTTCTAGAAATTTCTCTGCATGTGTGAACATAAGGTAATGATTCTGAACTGAGAATCTGTGTCCTTCTGAAGATATTACTTGGCTCCACTGCAGTCTTCCTTTGGGCCTGTTCATGATGCTGGTTAATGCCTCACAGGGCTACAATCCCCAGCACCTTCAACATGCCATGCTTCCCAGAATTATTGGGGTGAAGTCATGTGCTTCGAATGTGCCATAAATGCACCTTAAATGCATAGTGTGGGTATGTTTGAGTCACTTTTCAGGAGGAGAAGTATAAAAGGTGGTGAAAAAGTGTATCTTCAGCACATAACCTATACAACCCACACTGCTGCAACACTTGCATTCAACCAGCACCATCCCAATGGCTGACCTCTTTGCAGCTCCAATCAGCTGCTGCTTTTTGTTTGAAAACAGTCCTTCTAGTTATGGTAATGTCATCACAATAAGATTTTGCTTGGTGGTAATATTCAAAGGCAAACAAAGGTAGTTCAGAATAAGGGCAAAAATGGCCCTGAGGTTGCAGATGCTTGATCCTTTTACAGTAACAATCTGAATGTTTGCAGGACTTTGGAGAAACATATTAGGTCCCCTTTGCACACCGAAACTACAAGGTCCCAAATACTCATCTCAGCCCTAAAATTAATTATGCTGTCCTGAAAGGCAAGCACTTACTGTAAAGCTCTAGAATAGCTAACTTGATTACGGGATTTGTTTTTTAAACAGAAAGGAAAGTTAGTAATGGTACCATGATAATTCTTGCAGTGTATTACGTTAATTTCAGTGCAAGCAAAGAGAAATTGTGGTCAATACATAGCATGTTATATAGGAAGGCACTCAGCAGGATCAATATGGAAATGGCCAGCCTTTATATAAATTATTGTAGTTGGTTGTATTTAAGTTGTTAGTGATGATGTATTTACAGTATATGAAGGAAGGACTTTTGCTCATTTTTTCTGTTATAGCACTGTTGAATTATGCTTAGTAGCATATGTAGCTCATTTATTTACATTTGCATTTAAAGAAGAGGGAGCACCTGAAGGGCAGCTGATAAATAATTTTTCTTTGGTTCAATTAGTGCAACTTAGGACTGCTGTTCGCAAATAGAATCATGGAACTGGAAGGGACCAAAAGAGTCCAACCTCCTGCATTGCAGGAATCTTTTCCCCAATGTGGGGCTCGAACTCACGACCTTGAGATTAAAAGTCTCATGCTCTACTGACTGAATTATCTTTTGCTTATTTTATCCCCTGTAGGAAGTGTGTGTACACACTGGATGCCTAGTATGACAGAGACCAGTAGCACGAAAAGGGAGTCAGTGGAGTTCAGTACACAAGCTACACATAAGATCCATCTGCCACAGCTACGGGTGGATCAGGAATTTGGTTTGGTTTGCATTTTCATGTGACCCTACCTTGTTCATGCTCCCTGAAACAATACACGAACAGAAATGCAGCCATCCTTCAAAATTCACATTCTCTGAATTTTGTGATGCAGTTCTCAAACCAAACAATGTGTACAAAAATACACATATTAGGACAAGGTTTCCAACACAGTGCCCATGGGTGCCAGTGTGCCCAGGAGAACTTACTATGGCACCTGTGAAAGGTCTCAATAAATATCCTCTCCAAAATTCACAGTGCATGAGAGAATGTTCGCTCTTCCTGCTCAGTTCCTATTTGCAGTGGCCCAGTGTTTCCTACATTAAACACACACCTTTATAAACGCCCACATTTCATTGGATGGCAGGACTGGACACCAAGAAATGAACAAAGGTGTAAAGTGCTTTTCAACTGTGAGCAACAGTGGCGGCGGCTGATATAAGTGCCCTCCCCCCCCCACTGGTGGTGGGATGGAGTTGATGAGGGGCAGATCTGCTCCATTTTGTGGTCCTGTTTCCTTTTCTGCCCTTTTAGATCTGGCAGCCACTTTGTGTTACGCCATGTCTCCAAGGCAGCCATGTGGCAAACTAAAATCGAGGCAAGAACAATGAAAGAAACAATTGACAGATCCATCCATCCCTACACACAGCCACTGGGCCCTTTGCAGTTTTCATTCACCTTCATCCATTTAGTCTGGTAGAACTGAACGGTAAACTGGAAATAATTCCCATCAAAATGATATCCGTTTTCCTACAAAAGGATAATGTTGAAACATATACAAAATATAGACACACACACACACACACACACACACACACACACACACACTGTAAGCTGCCCTGTGATCCTCAGATGAAGGGTAGTAATAATAATAATAATTACCGGTAATAATAATAATAATAATTTCTGTGTAACAACAGTTTGTAGGTGTGATTTTCTTCTTACTAGAGTCAATGATAAATCTCTGATTTATAACGACAATAGATTGTGCTTTGCAAATATTAGGTGGCTTATTTTATTTTAACATAAAATAAATCACTTGGAGTGAAGGATACAAAATTATATATGTTTGTGACCTATGCCCATCTGCCATATATTTGTATAATCCACCCAGCCAAAACACTACTGTTGCAGTGTAGGAGAGTGGTAACCAAACAGTGGATGAAAATTCCTGCTGTTTGGTCCAGAAATCATTGATAAGAACGTGAAAAAAATAGCACAAATCACACAACAGGCAAACAAACACGGACAAAGTAAGTAAATGTTTTAATCCTCTATTTTCTCATCCTACAACTGCTGCATGCCATCGTAAGGATATAGAGAGTAGTGTTAGGGAGGGAATTCAATTTGGTTTGTATTTGCAGACAAACCTACCTAATTTGCAGTTTAAGAAACAATATGCAAACCAAAACACAGGCATTCTTTAAAAAGCACACTTCAAAAAGAAAGATGTCTGCAAACATGACATGAAGGCTGGCAACATCAACTGCTTGCAGATGACTGCAGTGTGTGGAGACAAACAGGTCATGAACCCGTAACAGTGACCAGAGGAGGAATGACTACAGGGGGGGGGCATAGAGAGAAGAAATGCCATGCTGCATGTGCAGCACCACAACCGGATGCCTTCATCTGCCCCAGCTGCAACAAAGTATGTCTCTCCTGCATCAAGTCTCTACAGTCACAGCAAGCACTGTAACCTTCCAACAGCTTGACTTCACTCCCCAAAGGCACACTCCTTCATTGTCTCCCAAGACAGGTAGATGCCAACAAGAAAATGTCATACAATGATGGTTTTTAAAATATTTTTTTGCTTTGTCTATTTTTTATAAGGCTATTGTTCAGGACTTGAAATGTGTAGTGAAGATATCTCAACTAAGATTATTTTATTTTGATGGAATTATATTTCTTAACTCAAGGGGTTTGAAAATGAAATGGTGACTTTGAAACAGGAGGGCAAAATCAATAGCCATTAAGTGAATGAGGACATTTTAATGTATAGAGCAACATGAGTTAATATACTTTTATCACCAAACCAGCTCATACCTCAGACATTTGTTTTGGTCAAACAGAGGAGCCAAAGAAAGAAAGAAGAATCCATCATTTTGAACCAAGTGAAGTGTACCACGAAACCGAGAATGATTTGTGGTCATTCTAAACCAAAGAAAGTAACTAGGGGAAATTTGGTATATTAGAACTGAAGGACATATATGTGGATTACTTCATTTAGGTATCTCCTATCTGCAGAAACAGAGATGATAGAAACACTAGATGCAAATAAAAAAGCCTGCAGGAAATCTTTCCAACACACTGATTCTACTTGGTCCACATATGAATAGCAAGGCAGAGACAAGACATTGGATTCCAGTGTAACCCCTCCCTCAGTTGCTATTTGCCATCATTGTTGGGCACACAACTGCTATGCCATCCATGCTACATTATATACACATTTACTAGGCACCAAGTTCATGAACTCAAGTAAAACTGAATAAACCAACATAGGATTGCACAGATAGACCACAAAGCTTGGCAGGAGAGAGCTTCTCACATACTTGGCAGGTGTCAATTAACTGTCTAGTGGGTTGCATTCATTTTGGTGATAATTTTGTAGCAATACACAAATGTTGTGTGGAATGTGTACCTGACACCCTCAGGCTTGCATTCCAGACCTATAGTTTGCAGTTATTCTGAAGTACACTGCTTAACTTTTCACCCTCTATTAATATTAGAATGTAGTGCCTGGAGACAGGAAGTAAGGTTGTGAATCCATAGCAGTGACCAGAGGACAAATGACCACTGGGAGGAGCGCAGAGAGAAGAAACACCTTGGTGCATCCACAGCAGCACAACCAGATGCCTTCATCTGCCCCAGCTGCAACAAAACCTGTCTTTCCCATATCCATCTCTACAGTAACAGCAGGTGCTGTAACTTTCCAACAATTTTACTTCACCCCTAAAGGCGCACTCCTCCATTGTCTCCTGAGACAGACGGATGCCAACTAACCAATAATCCTTTAAGAATGCGATTCATACTGAAAACAGATGCTTAAAACTTAATGATTGCTTAAACCAGTGTTTCCCTGATGGGAGTTGTAGTTCAAAAACAGCTGGAGGCACAAGGTTGGGAAACACTGGCTTAAACCATGCCAACTAGCTGTATAGTTACATTGTACTCTGTTGGGATATACTACACAAAAGGGTGCTGAAAGAGTAGATAATTGGATACTTACTGCAAGAAAGATCTGTAGGGAACTGTGAGCCACTTCTATATATTGGTATTCAAGAACACAACCTGAGACAGTGATGTAGCGATGGTCCTCCGGTGCCCAGTCTGGGGCTGGGGTCACAGATGTCACTGTGCAGCCCGGCCCATTCTCCATCCACCAAGAACGGTGCATTGAGATATTGAAGGTCAGTATAAGATCTGTTTCCTGTCAAGAGGATAAAAGAAGAAGAAGTAGGATTATGGACCAAGGTTCAATTTTCTGTTATCATTAGAAAGAATAGGCATCTACATAGATCTATTAAGAAGAAGCATGAGAGTTGAATGTAGTGTGGGGTTCAAAGTCTCATTCACTCATGACACTCAAATAAAAATTGAATCTGAATTTGGAATTTGAATCGTTTCCATTCCATTTATGTTCCAAAGAGGATGGCACATTGATAAATGTGTCCACTGGCAGCTGTGCCTCTGAATGTCAGTTTCTGAGAATTACAAGAGGGGAGAGTGCTGTTGTGCTCATGTCCTGCTTGTAGGCATCTCATAGGCATCTCTTTGGCCACTGTGAGAACATGAAGCTGGACTAGGTGCATTTTCGGCCTGATCCAGCAGGGTTCTTCTTATGTCCTTAAAATGTATGTATAATACATGTGACATTGTAATCACACCAGGCTCTTGTCTTTTCCCCCTCTGCTTCCATAAAAATGTTTATACGTACACAGCTCCGTTTTATTATTTTCCTAACCCTTCACAAGGCAACACTTATTGCTGAAAGCTATTTCCCAAGGCACCGTGGCTGTCTCATGTATTTTCAGCGAAAAGAAAGTCTGCCACCAGCTGGCATTCAGTAGAAAGGAATATCCAGAGAAAGAGAACCAGCACATGTGCTCAGTCATGCAGAGGAAAGGCAAAGCCTCACATCACAAATGCCCTCTCTGAACCCAATCAACCCCCATATAATGCAGACAATCCCACTATTTTTATCATTAACATTTTGCAAATCAAGTTAAGATTTTTTTTGGGGGGGAGAGCACTGATCAAGGGAACTTCAATGCAGCAGAAGGCAGCACCTCTGCTGCTGCTCTTCACAGCCCCAAGAGATCAGTGCTGTCTCCTCAGATTCCACTTATCACTGAAACCAGCTTTCACTCCCTGCAACACCCAACAAGCAACTGATGCTGTCAATTCTAACAGTGCAGATCGTTTTTAGGTAGTACAAGTATGCTGAGGGCACAGCTTAGGCTCAACTTATTAGTAACTAAAGAAAACAACTGGTACTAAAGCACAAAAACCAGTGGATTAATTTATTATTGTTCACATCTATTATTCTGGAGCATCAAAATGTAAGATGAAACACCACTATTACAACTGTGCTGTTTTATACCACTGTTGTGCATACTATTAATATAGGTGTTGCTTAAAACACGGCTGTGCATACCACAGGCTGAATGAATTTTGAGTGGACTCTAAAAATGTCTGCAATAATAGCAAGGGACCTCTCCCACCCTGCCTTGAGTAGTTGCCGTATGTTTTCTGTTTAACATCTGTGTTTCAAAGACTGCCAGGGAAACAGCTGCCTTGAAGCTGTAGAACTTAACAGGAAGTGTTGATACACATTTGGCATGTCAATATTGTATTCTTACTAGCATTCATGTTGAGGATGAATTTATAATCCCAGTTCAACAAACAGTTGCTTCCTCTTCAGGACACAGAGCTACATCTGTGCAAGTTTTATTTATTGCCTATGAATATAGTCAATCTTTTGTAAATCCTGATGATATTTGAAAGCCCTGCTAATGAAAATGAGTGTATTGAAGTAGATTTAGCATTCTGTCCAAGTGAGAAACAGGAGTGGGGGTGATATACAAAAATGTGTCTTGCTTGGCATTCTTAAGGTGGCAAAAGATGATTCTAAATGGGTTAGGTATGGGTTTATTTGAATGGAAAGGCACAAGCTGGATTCTTAGAAACATGGTTTGCTTAGACAACTTCACAAGTGGCCTGCCTGTGAGAATGTAACATATATTTTTTTAAAGAAAGAATTTATCTAGGCATGCCTCCTCTCATGAATTCTAGCTTAGAAACTGTAATTTTAAACACCTGTGATCTGATTCCCCACCCATCCTCTGGAAGTAGACATGGTCAAATCTGTCAGTTTTGGTTTCTCTCAGTTTCCAGTCTCTGGTTCTATTTTCCACATTTCCTCATCAGTTTGTGATTTTTTAAAAAGTCTTCAGGAAAACAAACCAGCATTTTAGTGCAAATTTATCTTAATAGCCACATTTTGTCTGCATTTTTTGCCTACTACACAAGTTTTGCTAATCAATTTGCTCACATATAATGCATTATTGCATGCTATTTTCATGAACAAATGCACACACACTTTACCCAAGTATATGATTCTTAAAAATAAGTTACTTGGCTGGAGAAGTGCTTTGCAACAGCTGGAAAAGTGTGCCTTTCAATGGATGGCTCTGTTTTGGTTCATGTGTTGTTTTGGAAGGCTCAAATTTGGTTAGGCTAGCCTTTCGATGCAACCTGAACTGACTTTCTTCCCCAGCCCAGTTGGAAAGCAATCCATATAGAAATAGTGCCCTTGATTTTCTGTAAGAGATACTGGTAGAGCGGCATAGGGTGTTTGCCAATCATTCTGTTGAAAAATCATCCTGCAGAGATGACTGCTGGTTGCACACACACACACACACACACACACACACACCCCCCTCAGGTTCAGACAAGGTCACAACCAAGAAGAATCACGTATTAGATGAGACAAGTTCATGTCTGATGAACGGTTGATGTTGGAACAGTTGAAACTAGATAGTAACTAATCATAAATCTTTGATAGTGTCAACAGGCAAGTGGGTAAGTTGATCCAGTAAACACTATATTTCCCTCACACTATAAGTCCCTCACCTAAACAATTCGTTCCTGCCCTTAGTGATTCCAACTTGTATCAAACACAAAAATGCATGTCTAGTAGAGCTGAACTGAATTGTTTGCCGAGTTTCAAGATGGAATTTGCTTAGTCAATGATGGGAAGCAGTTTTGAACAGCTAAGCAAATATTAAGAAAATGGAACTGTTTCTCCGATTTTTGTAAGAGTCATTCACAAAAGCACTGGAAAAAAGCCACAGAAGCTTATTTTTAAAGCTCCAAGTACTGTGCTGCTTCTAATTTTGCCCACAATTCAGGAAAGCTCGTGGATCTTTGGAGTAAGGGAAGTGTACAATTCCTGAGTATGTCTGGCCAAACCTGATGAAGTTCCCTGACCTAAATGAACACACCCTTTATATTGATTGTGAAATTGTTGTTAGGGCTGGGGGCAGTGGCTATTCAGCATATATGCTGGGGAGAGAAGGCGATACAGGGAGTATAAAAATGGATTTTGCTTAAATTCCTTAGAACTATGCTTCCTTAGACTTGGTCTGATAGCCTAAGAGATTGTACAACTTCCCTGTGAGCTAGTTCAAGGACAGCACAATTCTTAAAAATGGTATTGAGCAGTTTTTGAACATTTTCTTCTAGTGTCCACAAATTAAATAAAAACTAGATTTAATTTCTGGAAACTGCTGAAAACACCCTGGAAAACAGATGTGCTTCTCAACAATAAAAGCAAACGTGAAACTAAGAAAACTATATCAACTCAGCTCCAATTTTCTGCCATGATATGTCATCTCATTTCGCTCTACATGCCACAATAAATTTAACAACGTGAATTCTGCTCTTTCATTCAAGACTAGATTAACCATTGGGCAACTGAATACTAGCTGAGCCCGACTAGGGCATGAATTGACATGTTGCTATGAGGAACATTTCTTTGTGGAGAGAATATCTCTTGATATGTTGCATTGAACTCCCTTAAAATCTCTAGCAGCATGGAACATGGCAGCTGGTCCCTTACCATATGAAAGGAGAACAGCTTTCATACTCTACTTAAAATGAAAATGTAAAATGCCAGTTAACTGCTTAGCATATGGAACTGCACCACCACATTTCCTACATTAAAACATAGGGGCGGGGGGCATTTTTCAACATGAGGGCTGCATTTCTTTCTAGGTAACCTTCTGAGGCAAGTATCCCAGTGGTGGACAGGACCAGAAGCAACAAGTCACCGTTTGCCATGAACTTGCAGGACAATGGAGAGGAGGAAGAGGATCCTGGTGAGGGGTATAGCTGGGACTGGAACACACCAGGGCAAGCAGGGGATGGGGAAGGAAGTGCTCATGGGGTGACAGAGGATGACAAGGCAATGGGGGTCAGTGCACAGGATACAGAGCCGCAGGACCTAGAGCCAGAGAGGCCCCTGTCTCCACAAACACAGTGGGCTCTGAAGCACAGGGAGCAGCAGGACGGGCGCTCTAGGAGGCTGAGGCAAGGCAAGGGCCCACAGCCCAGGTCCTAGCTAGCCAGGTGGGGTTCGCTAGCCCTGGGAGGAATTGTGTGATTCCTCAGCTGGAGCAGGTGAGGATCAAACCCAGATGCTGCAATCAGCATGCAAAGTACAGAAAGGAAACAGAGCTGAGGCGTTGTGTCTGCTCAACTGCCCAACTGCCCAACTGCCTTTGACTTGGATGTTCCTGGATCTCTACAGAAACTGTGCTTTGGGTTTGACTCTTGATTGTATCTTGACTGTTGGACTTCAGACATGGCTTCTTAGATTGACCCTGGACTGTGTCTTTGGACTTTGCTTGTGTGGATTGAACCTCAGACTTTGGACCTGGCCTCCTGACTAGCTGCCAGGTAGGCCAGGGGTTAAGGATACCTTTGTGCAGTAGGCTTGTTTGTATTATTAGTATTAGCATTATTAAATCAGTTCCTATGAAACATTTGAAGTGATTTCAAAATACTATAAAGCAGCAAGCGAAAAGTATTTTCTAGCCCAGTAATAACACTCAAGGAGTGTTCAAAGCAGGGCCAGTGCGGGGTGTGGCCTGGTCCAGGGATCAAGAGTGATGGCTTTGGCCCCTGGGCCATGCTATGACAAGTGTCTGCTAGAAGGGAATGGCAGAACACAGCTCTTGCCACTGCACATATCTTTAGAAATAGACACAAGAAAGTGGTTGCTGTGTGATAGCTAGGGAAAAGGTGATGTGCCCTAGAATACAGTTCAATATAAAGGTTCACCCACAGCCTGTTTACTCCAACTCAGGTACGAATCTCTGATTTGGTGAACTTTCAAAGGCCTTAGTTTTGTTATAAGCAATATGG